GGGGGGGGGGGGGGAAGAGAGCCTGTAAGCAGTGATTTTTTTTTCGTCTGCTCTTTCTTGTAATTATGATTTATGCACTTTGAATTTTGTAATTTAATTGAACATTTTCTAAATTGAAAATTGAAAAATACATTTCTTCCATTTCATTTCCGCATTTTCAGGTTCTCGCTTCATTAATATTTTTGACTTAAATGTTATATTTATGAAGCAAATACATAGTTTTTAAAGTTGAAAATTTCAAAAACTTTTTTATTTTTAGGATATGAACCAACACGGGCTAACGTCAGTTCTATCAGTATTCAGAGCAAGGTAATAATAGTATTTATAATATTAATATTAAGAACAATATTAAAAATAATAATAATGATAATAATAATCATAGTAATAATGGTTATATAAAAATGAGTTATTCAAATTTAGTCTTTGAACACACATATTACTCAGCACAAGGTATAGAGATTGTAATGTATATGTTTTCAGAAATAATTGTTCAATCCTTCATACTTTTAAAACTATTGTGTTCAATTCTTAATTCAGAATCAACAAAAAAGAATTGTAGTTTCCGAGCAAATGTTATATATTCTAATTTAATGTTATGTAATATTTCTTTACCAAATGATTATTTGATCCTCCCGGGTGCACTGCTGTAGGTAGGATCATGAATCATTAATAAAATGCCTTACTCCAACAGTACTTCCAGTCTGTATCAATCCAGATACAACTCTTTCAATCTCTATCTACTTGACTGAACAATGTTATTTAATTTATCTTTCAAAACTGGGTTTATTCCTACCATTCTTAAAACTGCAAAAATCGTTCCAATCTTCAAGGCTGGGGAAACGGACAATTTTACTAATTATAGGCCTATAGGTTTGCTTTCTTCGTTTTCAAAACTTCTAGAAAAACTACTTTATGAACATCAGTATGACTTCAAAGAAAATCACAACACTACTCAACCCTTAATTCATTTCTTAGATAAAATATACAACGCACTAAATGAATCTGTATTCAAATATACTCTGGGAATTTTTATAGATTTAACTAAAGCTTTTGATACCTGTGATGTTGACATTCTACTGAGCAAGCTTGAACACTAAGGATTTCGTGGGACTTCTAACTTATGGTTTTAAAAATGATTTAAATGGAAGAAAAAAATTTACTTCAATCAGAGGTGTTGACTCTTCACTTAAAGAAATCTCTTGTGGTGTACCACAAGGGTCGATCTTAGGACCAATTTTATTTTTAATTCTTATCAATGACCTTCCTAAAGCATCGACATTTTTTACAATTCTTTTGCTGATGATACAGCACTATGTTCAGTTCAGCTAGTTTAATATAACATTGTTCAGGTTCTCTGTTCATCTACTGGAACTATGTTCAGTTCAGCTAGTTTAACATAACATTGTTCAGGTTCTCTGTTCATATACTGGAACTATGTTTAGTTTACTTAGTTTAACATAACATTGTTCAGGTTCTCTGTTCAACTACTGGAACAATGTTCAGTTCAGCTAGTTTAACATAACATTGTTGAGGTTCTCTGTTCATCTACTGGAACTATGTTCAGTTCAGCTAGTTTAACATAACATTGTTCAGGTTCTCTGTTCATCTACTTCATCTACTGGAACTATGTTCAGTTTACTTAGTTTAACATAAAATTGTTCAGGTTCTCTGTTCATCTACTGGAACTATGTTCAGTTCAGCTAGTTTAACATATAGTTTAACATAACATTGTTCAGGTTCTCTGTTCATCTACTGGAACTTTGTTTAGTTCAGCTAGTTTAACATGACATTGTTCAAGTTCTCTGTTCATCTACTGGAACTTTGTTCAATTCAGCTAGTTTAACATAAAATTGTTTAGGTTCTCTGTTCATCTGCCGGAAATACCGAAAAAATAAACCAGAGCCGGAAGCAAATAATCAAGGTTTGGATGCAAATTTTCAACTATAATCGGATTTTTTTATTCGTGACGTGCCAAGAAAAGTAACAGAGACCAAATTTAAAAATTACTTAGAGGTAGCTGAACCATATTGTCGTAGTTCAACCCCTTCTGTTGTGAGCCAATTCAATCTATTGAGAAGTGATTAAACTATTTATAAACTAAAAACTAAAAATATATATTTTGATATGTTAAATACACTCGAATGGCAAGAATAGAATTCGATATTTATGAATAATTGCTAAAAAAAATACAGAGGCTATATCAGTTACCAATTTGATTCGGATTCAGCTCACACTCCCTTACATTTTTCGCCAACACGTCCTTAAACCGAGATTTTTTTATTGAAACTCGGGTATCCGGACTTTGATGTTTAAAATTTCAAACTAAAAATAGTGTCCTGTGGAAATTATTACAAAGACTCAGTTCCTTTCCTGGATAAATATCACGCAAAACTGATGTGAATCTAAATATTCGAGCCGTGCCAATTAACATTTTCTGTCCTATAGTTTGTACTGTACCGCCAATTTACAATTACTAAAGCGGCAGATCTGTGTGTACATATGTACAGTCTTTAAGCTTTTCTTTAGTCACTTGCACAATGAACAATTTAAAAAAGGACAAAGAATTCACAAAAAATATATAATTATTCTCACTTACATATTTTTAACCAAAATTATTTTAAAATTGCGGACATTTTGATCGAAATAACGTTAATATCCGAACATTTTTTCATAAATTTAATTAAATTTTTCGTAATTTGGAAATGTTTTCAAAAGTTCGATAAAACGAGTTTTCATAAAAACTAAAAATTCTTAGCACCAAACATTATAAGTCATCCGCTAAGTGTATGCATCTCTTTCTTGTAGATCGATTTAGAAATTTTAGATTCAATCTACTTACACAAAATTAAAGATAATCGCATTCGTTTTATTTATGTTGTTCGTTCATCTTCGAAAACGACCCATTTTGTTCGTTTTTTTCAATCGTTCAAAAAAATGTTTTTGTTTGTTCTCAAAATTATCGTTAATGTTCGAATTATTTCGTTCGTCCCGAAAAATCGTTTATTCAATAAAATCGTTCTTTGCTATCGTTTTTCAAGCTCGTTCGAACGATTTGTAATCTTGTTTACAACACAATACACAGTACACACATTGAAGTTTGACAATATCAAATTTGATTTCCTCTCACTTGAAAAGTTCCAAATTCAAATGATAAAGTTTTTGAATTCAATCCTACAAGTTACACTGTTTGAAGAAACTCTTACTTTTAAATTTTTGAACTTTTCTTTTTTTATTAATAGTTTGAGAGCCCATATTGTTCTTGTTATCCATCTGACAGATGTTGAAGCCTGCAGGGCCTTAACTGGGTCCTTCTTTTGGTGGGGAGGGGGAGGTGCCCTCAAATAAGATCATAAAGGGGCATCTGTCCGGTTGACCCCCCCCCCGTCAATTACGGCAATGAGATGTCTTTTATCAAAAGTAAAATTCATGAAATTGAACAATTGATGATGATTTCAAAAAGAAATGAAAGAAATTAAATCTAATTCGAAATTCGAATTTTAAATTTACTCGTTTCTTCAAATAATGAAGGCCTTATATACACAGTAGTAACCACTGTGTGTCTGTTGTTACGGACGGTGTTTGTTTGTAGGTCAGATCATAACTCTTGAACCCCTGGACCGATTTTCCCCAAAATTAAAAAAATTTCTTAGTTTGGTTTAACAATTCTAAATTGAGTTGGTTCACTTAGAAAAACTTTTGTTTTGAGTAAAAGCTGTGTTCTCAATTTAGCTATAGTGTTTTTAAAATATTTTTTGCTATTCTCACATTTTTGACAATTAACATGAAAAATAAAATTTTGTAAAATTTTGACCCGACAGGTTCAGCCGGTTCGACGTTTATTGGAGACGAAAAGTTTCTCTAAGTGAACCAACTCAATTTAGAATATTTATATATACTATAGATAGGCTTTGATTTTAATTTTAATTTTTAAGTGTTTCTCTGTGTTAAATTATCAAACATGAACAAAAAATCGTGGATTTATTGTATTTTCGTAGATTTAGGAAAATCGAAAATTTTAATAGTAAATTTTTTTGACCATCCATAAACCTTCCTCAATGTCATGTCAGGTCCCACACAAATTTGGACCCGATCGGTTCAGCCGATTTGATGCTTTTTGTAAACAAACGGAGATACAAGCAACGTATATAGATATTCATAGATATAAAAGATAGATAGATACATATAAATGTAATAGATAATTCAAACTACCGGGTAACCAAAAATATTTTAGATGCTCTTGGTGATTATACTCCTGTTTATACTCTGTTGGTGTCCCAGGTATAGTTTTATACTCGGTTTATACTCATACCGTAGAACGTAGCGTCCATACAAATCACAAATTAAATTATTCCACTCAGATCGTAAATAATTCAATTAAATTTAAAATTAATCATTCAGATATTACAACCTATAATCATCGAATTTAATTTGATGCATTTGTAAATATTTAATATTTAATAACATTTTTCCTTTGTTTCATAATCTAAGCGACGTTTATTTGGCCGCTAGCTGTGTCTCTGTTCTCGATGCTTCAGGGGCTCCATGTGGGAGAAACACCATAAAAACCCATCATAATTAAAGTACATCATATTTAAAACAAATAGAAAATATTATGAAATATCACTTTATATCATATAAGAATGCATCAAATTAAATTCTGTAATACTAGGTCATAATATCTAGATGGTTAGTTTGAAATTAAATTGAATTATTAACGATCTGACTAACAGGTGAATTATTGCATGGACGCTACGCTCTTCAGCACGAATCGTGTATAATCATTTTCTCCTTATAGACGCAACAGATAGAAGTAAGATTAGTATTCGACGTTCTATACCCCCTTTCATTTTTCGCGAACACTCTCTTTAAAATCTAATTTTTTCTTCATTTCATTCTTTATTATGAATTTTTTGTTAAATCTAAATAGGCGTCCATCGGGTCGATCTGAGCTCATCTGAGACCAGTAAGTCCGTCAAAGCCGAATGTTTCTGACAATATCCTCCAAATTGCTTCTGTATCGGAAATCCGCAAATCATTTAGTTAGAGAAATTACAATTGAAAATAATAGCAATTATAATCTATTTCACTGTTACAAGACATTTAAGGATATTACTGTGAATCGGACATGTCTCTCTTCAGAAAAAGAGGAAAAAGAGGAAAAAAAGGACCCCTTGAAATAATGCTTACAGCCCCTTTAATTCAGGTTTCTGCTAAACCTGGTAAAATGGTACTCTGGGCTCCTCCCCTCCAGGCCCGACTTCTTCCTGGGCTCTCCGTTCTACTACTTCTCTACTTCCGCTAAAATACTTCCGGTTATTCACGCTATGCTCAATCCAATCATATACAGGTAGGGTTGTTAATCGCTTTTAAAAACGATCAAAAAGCCGATCGTTTTTAAAAACAAATTTTTTTTTCTAAAAAAAACTATCGTTTTTTTAAACATTATCGAGACAAATAACCTTAATGTTTTCTGACCTAAGGTTTTTCCGACCAAAAATGTATTTTCTTTTCTAAAGGTCTTTAAAAATTCTGAACGGTCGTTAACGATCGTTATAGATTGTTCTTCGTTAACGACCTTTTTTAAATAACGAAAAAAAATAATCGTTTTTTAAAAAAGTGGAACCGATCAATCCTTATTTACAATATAGGTAGAATTTACTATTAATGTAATATTTATATATTTATTTAATATTGATTGATACACTCTGAGGAACCAAGGAAAAGTTGTTAGTCCGGTTTAACATCAGTTGATTGGGTGGATTTTTATAGGGAAAACTCAAGCAAAAGCTGGGTCCCATGCGTATGATATTAATAATATTATAATTGCTTTTATTAAAAGTATTAATTAGAAATACTTAAATACATCCAAAATTTAAAAACTGTAAACAAATTTATCTTAAGAAAATGAAAAGGGGAAAAAACTAACCAAAATCTTTAATTTTAAAACAGTTGTATTTAGCTCATTTTTTGCAAATGTTTAAAATAAACATCTTTGGAAATTGTCGACTTTTTGTGGAATCTTTTAAAGTCCAAAAACCTTAAAAGTTTTTGGAAAATGAACTGGAAGTAGTAGAGTGAGGAATATACAATATACAGTGCTACCCACAGCGCATGAGACGACACACTAGAATTCTTTTAATATAAAACAAGATGTCCCAACAATATCGTCTTTGTTCCATGCGTGATTATTTAGTAAAATAATTTTGCAGTATTACAGTTAAAACTCCTGGGATTTCAAAAATGTGTTCTTTCATTTTTTTACTTTTAAAATTGATATTAGGAAAGTAATGTCAAGATTCAAGTTTATTAATTATCAAAAAAAAACTGTCCAACTGTTTAATTTCTCCGTCAATTTCAAAGAAATAAAGAAGGTAGACCTCATTTTGGAAACCTCATTAGACTTTCATTATTTCTTTGATGCACGTTATGTCATTTATCAACTAACGGAAATCAAAGACGATAATCAAGTCGTCTATCTTTTTCCATTTTTATCGAGACACCCTGTATTAACATAAATATGAACATATATCTCTTCTGTCTTGAATATCGCCTTTTAGTGTATCCTCATTTTATGTGGGTCACCCTGTAAACGAAATATTCCAACGAAATCACTTTCTTGGATTTTATATATTTTTTTTGGAAAGGCATAATTGAGGCTGTCATAAAAATAGGATTTTTAAGTTACTAATAAAACAATTTTTGTTTTGTAAGAACATCAAATACGCACAAAGATTGCTTTAACCGTCGTCTTCCTATTCCCAATTTTTCTGGTTCTCTCTGCAACGTGACAGTTTTTGTCAGTTCCATATTATTCTACAATTGAGCTTCTTCGAAAGATTTAAGTTTAAACCAACTTTTCATAAAAGCCTGTTATTGTCATTTATATATATCTTGAACAAATTTAAAGAATATTAAATTTATTGATATTAAAATGGTATCACATGAAAATATCACTTGAATATTTCTATTTACTTGATTTGCAGCTTCTGATTGAGGGCTCTTTTATTCATATTTGTTTATTGTGAGTCCAATGAAACTCAAGTTGTGTCGAAAGAATTGTGATTTTTTTATGATCAGATGTGAATTGTGTCAAAAGAAGTGTGAAGTGTTTCCAAAGAAATGCGAATTGTGTCTAGGAAATGTGAATTGTGTCTAAAAACAACTGTGAACTTTGTCTAGGAAAATGTGAATCGTGTGTAATGAAATGTGAATTGTGTCAAAACAAATGTAAATTGTGTCTAAAGAAAATGTGAATTGTGTCTAAAGAAAATGTGAATGTGATTTGTGTCTAGGAAAATGTGAATTGTGTCAAAATAAAATGTGAATTGCGTCTAAAGAAAATGTGAAATGTGTCTAAAGAAAATGTGAATCAAGTCTAAATGAAATGTGAATTGTGTCTAAAAAACTGTGAACTGTGTCTAGGTTAATGTAAATTTTGTGTAATGAAATGTAAATTGTGTCAAAACAAAATGTAAATTGTGTCTTCTGAAAATGTGAATTGCGTCTGAAGAAAATGTGAATTGTGTCTAAAGAAAATGTGAATTAAGTCTAGGAAAAAGTGTCTCAAAAAATATGAATTGCGTCAAAAAAAGTGTGAAATGTAAAATATTCTTACGACTTTTTTATTGTAAAGAAATTCAATAAAATGTTTGTTTTTTGATTTGATATCCACAAATTCAAATTTAAAAAAAATTAACCTAAATCAAAAATCCCAAATTCTATTCTTGATGTAACTTTCGAAACGTAATTTCCAAAAAATAAAACGAACAAGGTTTTAACATTTTTTTAAAAGATTTCAAATAAAGTCCTTTATTTTCAAGAAATATTTTCATTTCTTCTCAAATGAAGAAGTTATCATTTCGTAGAATCTTCAATCTTGAGTTTAATTTCAAAGTTGTTAAATTCTTTTATTTTAATTTCATGCCTGATTGATCGTTGTTAGATGATTTCTCAGCATATCTTTATTGTAACCCTTCAATAGAAAAGTTTTATTCATGGCTCACATTTGTACCTTTTAAACATTTATTGACTGTACTGTACATGTTTTTAATATAATGTTCTATATTTTTCACTGTTAATGTTTCTAGTTTGATGTGCCAAAGTGTTGTACTGTACATATTTCTAGTTTGTTGTGCGCCGAAGTGTTGTACTGTACATGTTTCTAGTTTGATGTGCTCAAGTGTTGTACTGTACATGTTTCTAGTTTGTTGTGATCAAGTGTTGTACTGTATGTACATGTTTCTAGTTTGATGTGCCGAAGTTTTGTACTGTACATGTTTCTAGTTTGATGTGCCGAAGTGTTGTACTGTACATGTTTCTAGTTTGATGTGCCGAAGTTTTGTACTGTACATGTTTCTAGTTTGATGTGCCGAAGTTTTGTACTGTACATGTTTCTAGTTTGATGTGCCGAAGTTTTGTACTGTACATGTTTCTAGTTTGATGTGCCGAAGTGTTGTACTGTACATGTTTCTAGTTTAATGTGCTCAAGTGATGTACTGCAGTACATGTTTCTAGTTTGATGTGCTGAAGTTTTGTACTGTACATGTTTCTAGTTTGATGTGCTCAAGTGTTGTACTGTACTTACATGTTTCTAGTTTGATGTGCCAAAGTGTTGTACTGTACATATTTCTAGTTTATTGTGCGCTGAAGTGTTGTACTGTACATGTTTCTAGTTTGATGTGCCGAAGTGTTGTACTTTAAATGTTTCTAGTTTGATGTGCCGAAGTGTTGTACTGTACATGTTTCTAATTTGATGTGCCTAAGTGTTGTACTTTACATGTTTCTAATTTGATGTGCCGAAGTGTTGTACTGTACATGTTTCTAGTTTGATGTGCCGAAGTGCTGTACTGTACATGTTTCTAATTTGATGTGCCGAAGTGTTGTACTGTACATGTTTCTAGTTTGATGTGCCGAAGTGTTGTACTGTACATGTTTCTAGATTGTTGTGCGCTGAAGTGTTGTACTGTACATGTTTCTAGTTTGATGTGCCGAAGTGTTGTACTGTAAATGTTTCTATTTTGATGTGCTCAAGTGTTGTACTGTACATGTTTCTAGTTTGTTGTGCTCAAGTGTTGTACTGCAGTACATGTTTCTAGTTTGATGTGCCGAAGTGTTGTACTGTACATGTTTCTAGTTTATGTACCGAAGTGTTGTACTGTACATGTTTCTAGTTTGATTTGCCGAAGTGTTGTACTGTTCATGTTTCAGTTTGATGTGCCGAAGTGTACGACAGATGATCTTCTCCTGTTTCTCTCCCAGTACACAGAGCAACAGCCGTAATGTTTGTAGTGTAATAAGAAGAAGTGAAGCTTGGAATGATCAATCATTTGAACTCCAGGTATATAGGAATTTATAGAAATATATAGGAACATATAGGAATATATAGGAATGTATAAGAATATATAGGAATATATAGGAATATATAGGAATAATACGAATCTATGTAAGAATATATAGGAATATATAGGAATAATACGAATCTATGTAAGAATATATAGGAATAATACGAATCTATGTAAGAATATATAGGAATTTATAGGAATAATACGAATCTATGTAAGAATATATAGGAATAATACGAATCTATGTAAGAATATATAGGAATAATACGAATCTATGTAAGAATGTCTCATGAAAAAAGATTATCTCTTTAAAAAAGTCCTAAGTTTTGATTCCTGGGACTTTTTTTCTCTAAAATAATAAGGGGGCTACCAATAACGTATCAGGAAATACGATCACAGGAATTAAAGTCCTGAAGAAAAAGCCTTGGGAAAATGATGTCAATTCTTAGACGTTTTCATAAGAAGGACTCTTCTTGTATGCATATGCATATTGAATAAATCTATGTGTGTTTTAAGACCCTTTCTTCCATGGATGTAAACATCCTTTGTTCCCATGCATTTTCCACCATAAGAGGATTTTTTTCCCGGACACTTTTTTGTATAAAAAAGTTCTAGAAAATAAAGTCACATAATGAAAGGACTTTATTTCCAGAGATTTTTTATTTCAAGGACTTTTTTAGTGCCAAATTATAGGAAATTTTTTAGAGAACTTTTTTGGCGGTTACCAAATAGTCCTGTGTACTCATTTTAGAAAATTGTACCTAGAATAGGAATATGGATCTTATATGTATATTAATCAGTAATTGATATCTGTTTATTTGTTTGAATAATTTGTTTGTTATAATTTCTGAATTTCTGAATTTCTGAGTCCATTAGCGCGGATAGCGCCTGGTCCAATCAGGGTTCAGTCATGTGTTTGTTGTCTATTCTGAGCCAATAGAAATTGCATGGCGGTAACATCTTTCATCCTATCTAGTTCANATTATTACTCAGGCTCTAAATGCCACACAGGGACACAAGCGTAGCTTATCAATCTAGCTATTATTACTCAGGCTCTAAATGCCACACAAGGACACAAGCGTAGCTTAATAATCTAGCTATTACTCAGGCTCTACATGCCACAAAGGGACACAAGCGTAGCTTATCAATCTAGCTATTACTCAGGCTCTAAATGCCACACAGGGACACAAGCATTGGCTATTTATCAAGTCCTTAATCGATCCCTCCCTTAAACAAGGTATGATCTCAACCCGAATACACTGTAATCAAAGCAGAGTTCTGATTCTAACTAATTGTATTTAAGGTTTATAGGTTACAAGTTAATTCAATAGACGTAATTACAGTTCCTACGTTGTTATCAATATCTCATGATTTAAGGCGAATCATGTTACGTATTACAGTACAATCAGAAATTGTCGCAATCTAAGATATACGTCATATATATCACATAAATAAACTAAATATGCTACGTATTCATTCAGAACGCACTTCAAATGAATAATTTTTTTTTATGTACAAACATTGATTATCAATAATGTACAATGTGCTGAAAATTTTACGAAATATAGAATATCCCGATATTTTTTACATGATCTATGCCCTGTATGGCATCTATGCCCTGTATGACGTATATGCCCTTTGTGACCTCGTTTTTCGTTTCGTTCTTATTTTTTTCATTTTTGGAAAAAAACGATCGGTTTTGAAAACGAACCTTTCGTTTTGAACTTTCAAAAAACGAAAAACAATCGTGTTTTAAAAACAAAACAAATAACCTGAATGTTTTCTGACATCGGCTATTCCGACAAAAAAATGTATTTTCTTTTCAAAAACGATCTTTTTTAAAAACGATATTTAAAAAAACGATTGTTTTCAAAAACGATCGTTACGTTTTTCGTTTTTTCTTCGTTGTTTTCAAATTGAAAAAATTGTTTTCCAAAAAAAGTGGAAAAGATCCATCCCTACCTTTATGTCCTTTATGTCCTTATGACCTCTATACACTGTATGACCTCTATAAGCTTTATAACCTATATGCCCTTTATGTCCTCTATGACCTTTATGTCCTTTATTACCTTTATGACTTTTATAACCTTATGACCTCTATAAAATTTATGACCCCTATGACCTCAATGACCTATATATCCTCTTTGACCTTTATGACCTCTTTGACCTCTTTAAATGACCTGTGACATATGCATATGTCCTTTATTATATGTGTTATATCTACATATGTCCTATTTAACTTGTATGACCTTTATATGACCTGAATGACCTTTATTACCTCCAAGATGTCTAGGAGGATGCAGGTGAAAGATCCCAGCCATCCTTCCATGGAACTGGAACAACATTTATCAGGTATATTCTATTCAAGAATATAATCCAAGGGCTAACACATTGAACTTTTGGAACAAGGAATACTTTTTTAGCACTGAATCGTATTATATCATTTCCTTTAAAGTTTAATTTTATGTTTTTAATTATTTTAAATGATTGACATTTGAAATTTTAGAATTTTATGAATAAAATACCAATAAATCCCCCATGTAATATTGGCAGAGTGGGATTCATGTTGTGTGCACTGCCCCGGAAAATTCCAAAACAGAGAAAGGGGGATTGAATTTTGTAGATCCAGAAAAATAATATCTGTGGGATGCCTGCGTAGAGAATGGCAGCTGGTGGGGTCTTAAATGTAAGACATGTGGCCGCAGCGGTCGGCCCCCTAGCCTGTCCTAGCCGCAGCGCTCGGCCCAGAAAGTGTCATAACTTAACCTAACCGTGGCCGCAGCGGTCGGCCCCCTAGCCTGTCCTAGCCGCAGCGCTCGGCCCAGAAAGTGCCTTAACCTAACCTAACCCTAAATAAATACTAATTTAATTATTTTTCTGGATCTTCAAAATTCAATCCCCCTCTCTCTGTTTTGGAATTTTCCGGGGCATTGCACACAACATGAATCCCACTCTCCCTGTAATATTGGATAGCAACAAGGAAATTTGTATTCCAACATTTTAGGACAAGTGACCAGGATCTTCGATAAGTTAGACAGGTTGAACAATAACTAAACCAGACAATAGACCGGTTGAACACTTGCAAACAAATTAGACTTGCTGATCAATCTGTTGATTTATCAAGCAGCACTGCACATCTTGTTTGATTTTCTCCAACTAATTTTCAACAACAACCGTCTGGAAAAAAATCATTATAAAACAGAAATATCAAAAACACAAAAAATCACAAAAAAACACAACAAGACATTTAAATTAGGAAGTGATTTCAAAACATAAAACATACATTTTATCTTAAAACGAACCACGTTTTGTACAATTGACCTAAAGACCGTATGAGTTTTCGAAAAATGAAAGACTCAGTGTGCTTCACTAAATATGATACAGTGGTATCCATAAAACTGTAAAATCGGAAAACAATATAAATGTATTTGATGTTGTTCTAAAACAAATCATTTAACTAGTAGCTTGAAAGTTAATATGTTAAGTGCACACTGAATAGTTAATATTTTTCATGTTCACTGATCCCGCGATTTAACAAATTCGGTAAAATACGGCTTGTGTCTTAGCTGTCGTTGGGCCTTATTTACGGCTTGAGCTTTCGGATTCAAGCTGCATCTTATTTTTAACAGAATTGAGTTCAAAAAACCGGTTTAATATTCTATTTGGCGAATTTTTATGGTAGGAATTGGCGCATTCCAGGTTTTGATGAGAACAAGACTCAACATTGAGCCTTATTCTCCAATGTAACCAACCAAGTCCTTAAGTCGAGCCGAATATCTTGCAGCTGTCAATCACGTGACACAAGCTGTCGTCAGAGTTGGGTCGAAGATCGGGTCTTAAAGTCGGGTTTAAGGAATTATACGACTCAATCCAAAAATTTTAAATCGCGGGCTCTGGACTATTTAAGATCAGTCGTCTTTCTTTTGTCGACGCGCGTTTATATCAATGCAATGAAGACGAACTTCAATTTAAATTTTTTTATTTCTATCAAGCTTTCATACATCATTGTGACACATAATCATTAATTAACAACTTATACTGTTTTTTTTTGTAAACTTGTGAGTTAAAAGAAACTTGCTAGAAAACAAAACTTAAATAGTATTCTTCAATTGTATTGTTATAAACGCTGACCTTTGTATTACAGGTCGTCTTCTCGAGAAATAGATCATTGATAATATATTGTATGTTAAATTGTGGAATTGATCATTACTTAACAAAAAGTTTCACACCAATCCCTTTTTTAATATTGACATTTCTTATAAACATTTATCAATGAAGATATTGAAGTTGCCATTCGTAGCTTGTTTGCCATTGCTTGGGTAAAATACCAGACAATGTTGTTTTGTGTTATTTTAATAATGTTATAATGTAAAGTTTATATATAAATTAACTGTTGTTTTTGAATATCTAAAGTAGAAACATGGATTTGTTATAAATTATTTACACAGATTCTTGATCTAGCACAGACAAATTCGTTCAGAATTTTGCCATTTACTCCTTTTAAGCTGGAACAAAATACAAGAGCTTTATATAGCTAAAAAGGTGCAAAGGCTTTGCATTACTTCAAGCATGGGCTTGTATATTGGTGCAAAATATTCATAGCTGTCTGTATCTTTGTGCTAAATATTTTTTAAATATTTTTTTTCATTCCAAAGTTGTTCAGAAAGAATGGATCATGAAATCGTTCATTACATTAGTCATGGGAACAAAATTCTAAATTATTTAAATTTGGATGCTATTGGTTAAAACAGATTTGGTTTATATTTCTATTTCTCGAACACGCATTATGACCATTTCAAGAAATAAGAATTTAACGACTGTAGAATTACATATTGGCTGTACACAACATTTATATTAGGATACCATATTTAAAAAACAAAAAACATTTTAATCTTTCGGGGTTCTCAATTTAGAACGCTTCAGACAAACATAAACTTAGTGTAGCCGAAATTTGATCGATTGTTAAAAAACGAATTTTTCAAAAGACCTTAACAGCTTCATCTGCAAATAATAAATCCTTATTTCAATCCCAACTTAGTGCAGTCATGATGGGATTTCGATGGGATCATAGGGTGTTCCTAAACGGCTGATTGATTGATTATTTGATTGATTGATTGATTGATTAGTTTAATGCTAATGTGTGAAACTCTTAATCAAATCATTGGACAGTTTAATTTTATGATTTTTTTTGTGTCCAATTCTGAACAATTTTGCTTTATCATTTAAAAATCCCTACTCAAGTATAAACGAGTATAAACCCTGTATATCTGTGAGCCCATGAAAGCAATCAGAATGGCTTTAAATACTCATCAATAATCAACATTTAAAGATTTATGATTTTTATTGATTTACGTTGGTAGACGATAATATCAGTACAATAGAGACGTCTATTTTATTTAAATTTTATTGTTAACTAGCTTTTTTGAAATTACAAGTTTAAATTATAATTAGATCCTGATCGAGTTACAAAATATATGTTTTTTTAGATACAGTTTTTAACACAGAATATTTATTTATGCAACTGTCTTGTGTTATCAGGCGGGACAATATGTTTTTTTTGGCCGGGATTTTTACTTTTTTTTCGTTTGTTTAAGGTTTAAATTCAAGATTTTTAATCAAGAACAAAAAAGATTATTTCCCAAATGATAACACAATACAGTTGGTCTTTGCTTATTACTTATTTGCCTCGGAACGAAAAAGATTATGAAAATGCGGGAATAAATTTCTCTAAAAATTGAATAAAGTATTTTCATATTTGTAACATATCGTTTAAACCATAAGCATACATTGATCATGATCAACACTAATTACATCATTGAAATTAAGTTTTTGTCACAAACTCAAATTTTCTAATCCCTGTATGTTTCCAACCTGGTATTGATAGCTTTGATATTTCAAACTTAAATTATTTGATTTAACATAACTCATAGTTTGAAATAAAAAAGGTCTACAACATTGCGTTGCAAAGATATAGGAACTAGAAAATTAGAGTTTTTGTGACAATAACTCATTCCTTTGATTTAAAACTAAAACTTTTTTGTCAAGCAATACTTAAGTTGTATGTACATTGTACATACGTGGTACATAAAATTATAATAATTAAAAGGCTGCCATGTATCATCATGTTTACAAAGATTTAACTATGAGATGCTTCCTACCTTTTTCTTGATTGTAATAATGATGTAATTTTAAAGATAAATTGATTTATTTTGTGATCCGTCATAATAAAATGAATAATCATGATAAACTATTATATTGTCAATATAACTATATAGACAATATAATAATAATATTTAGTAAAAGTAAATTAAACCTATGTAAAGCATAAAGTCTGACCGCGTCAACCTTATTGCACCGGTTAGTCCTGTCCATAGAGCTAGATACAGTACAAACTGGGACCAGAAAGGTTGACCCGGCTCGAAGATTCAACTTTACTACGGCTGCCCGTGTTAAGATTATGTAAAAACTTTGGATATAAACAATGAACAGTTAAAGAAACTTGTGATCCTTTATTTTAAAATGGAAATGTCCGATTCACCTTTATCTGATTAAATGAGTGAAAATCTAGCTTAAAAGTGTTTCATTCTAACAATTTCCTCTTTTGTTTATGGAGCAGATATCTGCAAGTCAATTAGAGAAACAACAATAGTAAATAACCTATTTTTTAAGTAAACAACTTGGATGTTTTATCTATGCTTGATGATAAGAAAGAATTCTTTATATGATTAATAAAGTTGCTGCTTCCCAATTCATTTCTTTTCAATAAAAAAGTGTTTATAATATTATTACAACTTATTTTATCTAATTTTCTTTAATGAGATATTTTAAATATGTTATATGTATAGATATACACGCGCAGATTAAATGAATTGATTTTTTGATTTTCTAATCCCTATATCTTTGCAACCTGTTGGTATTAAGCTTTGATTTCAAACTTAGATTTTTTTTATCAAACAATACTGATATTGGGATTAACAAAAACTCAATTCCTTCCTGCAAATCATCATGTTTTGTAATAGTGTTGAACGACGTAAAAATGTAAAAAATAATTTCTAAAAATCCTTTACGTATATATTAAAAACCAAATTTTATGTTGTAAAATTTGTATACGTGTTATACGGTGTTACCTGTAATAAGTCTTAATTACATTATAAGAATAATAACTATAATTTCTCATAATTGACCAAAAAAAACCGATCAACAAATAATAAATAATAGTTTTAAAACTATTTTTTATTATGTGCACAAAAGCTTGTTTTGAAAATATCAAAAGCTTGAAAGAAGAAATATTGTAATTTCTTTTTGTATTTATTGTAATCTAAATCTAATTTTTTTAAGAATACAATTTTTTAAATCTTATATTTTCGAAAATTGTTTCTTCAGTAAGATTATTAGAAACAATCAGATACATTATAACTATTTTACGACAGTTTAGAAATGACCAGAGCTGGGAACTTTAGAATGGATAACCTTTAATCCCAACTACTTAATCTGAATATCCACTGTGGAAACTTAAAATTTTTTTCTTAATCCACTCTTTTTCTCTTTTTATCCGGACATAATTTTCTCCAATGAGAGTGCAGAAATATAGTTGTACATATAATTGTATTGACCAATGACAGCCTTGAAAATAAATTCTATCCCATGAGAGAAATCCGCAATTTCTAACAAATAAAGAGTTTGTTGTCGGCCATTTTGTAAATTAATCGGTGAATAAAAATATTTAATAACAGGTTTGAGATTCTTTTGTAACCAATTTTAACTAAACTGTAGTAATAAATAAATGGGTGAGAAATTAAGTGGAGGCCCTTCCAGTCAAGAAAACGAACCAATCTGGCATCCTTAGAATCCATTTTGTTGATCTAAATATTTAATCTCAAGACTAACCTAATCTCGAGATTATGTTAGTCGCGAGATTAGCAAAAACAGAGCATTAATCCTGACATCCATCATTCTAAAGTTCCAGGCTCTGGACACTTATCTGAATATCGGGATCAGTGCTTGATGTCGGTCTTTTGATATCCTTAGCGTAATTGTACACAAAAGTTCCAAAATCAATCCTGTTAAGGTTTTCTAAAGATTTTTCTCCATCAAAAACTTTATGATTCAATCTTAACAGTCAAACAAACTTTCCTAATCTACCAGCAGTTCAGGAGAAAATTTTGTAAATGCAATTTTTAAAAGAAATCAAAATTATTTCAACTTATCAAGAAATCAAATAAGAAATCACAGCTTTATGTGGAAAGACAAATATTAATAATAAAAGAGACTAATTCCAATATTATTAAATGTATATTTATGTATATTTATATATGTTGTCTCAAATAAACTGTTTTTTATAGTTTTTTTTCAGATGATGAGAGAACAGTTAGTATTTAATGCACAGTCACCGAAGGGGCGTACAAAGGGGGATTTAAAATTCAATTACTTAAAGGGAGTGTTCGCGAAAAATGAAATGGGGTATAGGCTTAATGCGATAAAAAGCGCTTTTGATCGCTACTAATCTTACTTCTATCTGTTGCGTCTATAAGGAGAAAGTTGTTAAAAACGACTAACACCGAAGAACGCAGCGCCCATACAAATTCGGAAAGATGCAACTTTCAACTCGGATCGTAAACAAATCAATTTAATTCTAAACAAA